AGGAGCGGGTATGGAGCACATCCACCCACCACCCCACGCTGCTGCCACATCCCAGGAGAGGGGGGCAGTGTGGAGGCAAAGCTTGCCCCACCATCCCCATCCCCTCCGCCCCCCTCCACCGCTGCTGCCCCCAAGGAGCAGGGCCGGGGCAGAGGGGGGAGAAGGAGAGGTAGCACCACTGGCCTCGCCTCTCTGCTCTGTCCCTTCTGTCTTTGCAGTGCTCTGCACTCTGACTGGTTGTTTCACTAACCAATCAGAGTGCTCCAAGAGCATTAAGGACAGACAGAGACAGATGGACTAAGTCCTTTATTATATTAGAGTGTATACTTGTTTCAAGTACAGGTAGTTCCTATCTAAAGCTCTAGCTCTCAACCCCTCATGCTCTCTGCCAAGGGTTGAAATCTGAGACCAAATTTTGGATTGGGAGTTTGCAAGTGGCACTTCTTCTTCCAATGATCTGACAGAAAGTCCTAGATATCAACATTTCCAATGTTTGTGCACTTGAATCCAGATCTGGACCCAAATTTTCATTATATAGCTACATCCACAAAAACCCACAACAAATGAAATTCTCACCAGTAAGATAAGGAAGTATGGGTTGAATGAATGGACTGTAAGGTGGATAGAAAACTGTCTGGATCATTGGGCTCAAAGGGTTGATGTCTAGTTAGCAGCTGATATCAAATGGAGTGCCCCAAGGGTCTGTCCTGAGGCTGGTTTTGTTCAATATCTTCATCAACAATTTAGAAGATGGAATGGATTGCATGCTCAGCAAGTCTGCAAATGACACCAAGTAGTAGATATGCTGGAGGGTAGGGATAGGTTTCAGAGAGACCTAAACAAATTGGAGGTTTGGACCAAAAGAAATCTCATGAAGTTCAATAAGAACAAGTGCAAAGTCCTGCACTTAGAATGGAATAATCCCATGCCCCAGTAAAGGCTGGGGACTGAGAGGCTAAGTAGCAGCCCTGCAGAAAAGTATCTGGGGGTTACAGTAAATAATAGCTTTATATTTAGGGAACAGTGAGCATGTCTACACAAGATGCTTTACTGCACAGCAGACTTATTTTCTGCACAGGAAATCATGACCGTCTACATGTGCATGCCAATTAGGGTGCAGTAGACTAATTTACTGTACTGCCAGACAGACCTGTCAGATACAAGCGGCATCCAGCAGCACAATAAATTACTGTGCTTAAATGCAATTACTGTGTTTAAATGTATGTGTAGATGGTGACATTGGGATTAGTCAAATTGAGCCAGAGCATATTCAGTTGTATTACTGCATTTGTAGATGTGCCCAGTGTGCATTTGTTGTCAAGGAAGCTAATGGCATACTGGGCTGCATTAGTAGGAGTGTTACCAGCAGATTGGGGGAAGTGATTATTCCCCTGTATTCAACACTGGTGAGATCACACCTGGAGTACTGTGACCAGGTTTAGGTTCCCCACTACAGAAAGGATGTGGACAAATTGGAGAGAGTCCAGCAGAGGGCCATAAAATGTTAGGGCTGGGGCACATGACCTATGAAGGGAGGCTGAGGGAACTGGCCTTATTAGCTGAGTACAGACAATAAAAAAGCTCAAGGTGGAATCGATAAAACCTTTGCTGGTTTCTCTAAGCTGTGAAGAATAGATCAGGAAGGAACAGAACACATGTTCTACCATCAGATTCGGGGGTCACAGGGATGCCCACACTGGCCCATAGCAGTAGGCTGTGAGGAGGCTGCCACATGCCTCCTGGGGTGCCAGACACTGCCAAAGGCAGCTGAGTCCAGCCAGTTGGCAGGCCACATCTGACTGGCTGCTGGGCACACACCCCACCTCCGGCTGTCAGCCACAGTGAGGGGTTGAGCCAGCAGAGAATATCTTCCCAGCCCTGCCCTCCCCCGCCCCCTGCACAGATGCTGGTAGTCTGGTGTTCATATCTTCTAAAATTAATAGAATGAACTAATCTTTTACAGCTCTTTAACTAAGGCATCATCATTTTCTTGAATGCATCACAGCAAAAATGGGTGTTGGATGAGTTGAAAGAGTCTACCAATCTTACAGATGAATTCAGGAAAGGCTTCCTATGAGTAAAGAGCACTGTAGAAGAGAGCACTGGTGAAAAATAAAAAAGTATTCTTCAAAGATGGTACTACTACTGGAAAAGGGGAAGGAGCAAGGGCAAGGCAACAAAGATAAGGACAGGTAATCAGGAAGGTACAGAGATATGAAGGGCCCTGAGGAAGAAGACAAAATGCCTAAATCCAATAAAGAGGAGTTGGAGAGACTAGGTGAAAGATGACAGTGGAACTGTCTAGGAACATGATCTTAGCTACTGAGTTCCAGGTTGTACCCGTCTTTAAATGCAGAGAAGTTATCACATGTCTGCATAAAATTGCATACACAGTACACAAACTTCAGAGCTGGGCTTTTTCAACATAGATAAAGATATATCATAGCTACCCAAATCCAGGACTACTTCAAATTTTATGCCCCTGTTGGATGGTTGATTTAAACTAGTCTCCTCCACAGTTGCAGCAGGGGAAGCAGTAGCAGGGAGCCAAGCAACCTGTCCCTTGCCTTTTGCCTCCCCACTTGTCCCCTCACCAGTGACTGACCCTTGCAGAGAAACACCAAATTAAAGAAACTAAACCCCACAAATATCTGTCTCATGACATTTTAAAACAAATAACTCCAAAGTAAGATGGCAAAAGGTGACATCATTCAAAAATTGTTTAAAAATATTCAAGCCTGAGTTTGATGTGCAGATGGAAGTTCAACTTAAATATAATTTTAATTGGTGTCATGAACAAAATACATAATATAAAAAGATTCACTCTCATTAGAAAGACAATTCCCTTTTAAAATTTTAAACTGGAGGGTTTCTCCTTTTTAAAATCATTATTGATGATAGAGAAATCTTGATGGACCTACTTTCATTACCTTCTCCCCACAAAAAAAAATTAACCTGATTTTAATTTTTTACTGGAAAACCTATTTACTTATTACTGGAACCCCTAAACTGGCTCCCTAAAGAGGCTGCATTAAGTGGGACTACATAAATGGATCTTAAGGCATATAAAGCTTAAGAACCACTGAAGAAAGCAAACAAACTACTGTGTTTCAATATAGACTAATGAAATCTATTTAATTTAACTTCACATAACGTTTCTACTTGGTATTCATGGCCTGAGTGGGCAATACTTTGTTAAAACCCTATTTTAAAATACCATGCTTAAGAGATGACATTTTAATGCAGTCACAGTGTTCATCTCCTGAGCTTTGTCAGGAAAGAACATTGTCTGTTCTGTGAAGATAAAGCAAGTGTGCCACACACACAGAGATTATAACCCCTCACAAAGGGGCAGAGGTTCAGTGTTTATGTTGCTGTTCTCTGTACTTCTCCATTAAGTAGTTTGGTAATTTGTTATTAAATATCTCCATTTTTTGTTCAACAGGTGCGGAGCAGAGTGGACTATTTTTAAACCAGATCAGATGCTTGTCTCCCTCATACTACATCACAAAAGACTACCTGGAGTCTTCCTCAAATGCTGGTTCTACCCTGGTTCTTCTAATAATTTGGTGTACACTGGCTTTACATAATAGTAAATGCAGTATTTTTTTCTTCCTTAAGTTGTCACAGGTCAGCTATTTACTTCCCCGAGACAATCAACAATACTTTTAAAACCTTGCACTGATCTCACCTATGTGACCTATTAGCTATGACTTGCTCACTGCCACAGTCCCAGTACAGCTGGGCAATTGCTACCCAAACATTTAACACTTGTGATATATGAGCTTATTTAAAGCCTCTATCAGACATTGACGATTGGCCCAAAACACCTGCTTCACTGGAACAACGATAAGACTTTGGGCCAATGAAATACAGACCATCACTCATCAGCAAGTATTTAAACTTAGTTAATAGTTAACTTTCAACTATATTTCTCCGCTTCTTCCATTTACCTTCCAACCAGTGAAAGATAGGGGTGGTGTTTTAAGTTACCTGCCCACAGACATATGACAATATTTACTTGTACTTATATTATTTTTTATTTCATGAAGCACAAAAAGTCACTTTGAAAAGCAAAGAAATTGTGGCTAATCACCATGCCAATTTTCCTATGTGGTTCTGCAGTCAACACTCTACCTTTGAAGTAGATCTTCAAGAATGATATTGAGTGACTTGAGTCTTGAGTCAGAATAATCACACTGAAATTGCAAAGCCTTGGCTGCAACCAGCACGATCAAATGTCTTGTGTTATTTTGCTAAGTGTAAGCCAAAAGGACAATTTAGGGATCAATGGTAATTACTATGTAGCAAAACATAGTGGCCAAAGTATAAATAGCTCAAAAGATAGGAGCAGTTCAGTTTGGGAACAGTCAACCCCCCTTGAGTGATAAATGACTTAAGCTACCATTTTTTTAAATCTATGTTGCAAATGCCCAGACCCTGTCTGTTTTCTTCCTTTTCATTATAGCTCCAACCTCTATATTTCAAGTAAGGCAGCATATTCAATAGTATAACTCTGCAACTAACCATTTCCCAAAAGCGTAAAATTAATTAGACATTCAGAGGCTGGATCTCAAATGTTTCCTGGCATCAGACAGTGTTTGATTCATAGAAGTTCCTCCTCCCACACAGCCAGCCCCCTTTCCAATTTAAAGACCTGAATCTACGTTTAATATGGTTGTCTCTGAATCACGCCCCTGCTATCTGCTGCATCTGCCTACTGCCATCCTTAGTCCACTCCAGATGTCTTGGACACTTCAAGCACTTTTCTGTTGTATATACAGCTTTGAACTTCTTTTCATGGTAATGAAATGACTCACCTTGTCAAGCCAGGCCTCTCTTGGTCTGCTGTCTTGTAAACCAATATACCCTGTTCTATGGTCAGGTTGTTGACAACTAAACCAGCACCCCAACCTGGGCTAACCTGGGTAAAGAGGGTATGTGGACACCCAGCAGAACTAAAAACAAGATGAGCTCCCTGTGAGCTAACAGCCATCTATAGCTGGAGAGGAGATGGGTGCCACCAAGTTACTTTGCCTAAAGAATCACTGAAGATGCAAAGCAACTCAGCTAACCTCATATGGAGTGGAGGATTGTCACAGCATATAAGGTGCCCCAACAGCTGCAGTGGCCTTAGGACTGACTTGATTTGAAATGACTGAAAGATGATGTCCATCCCTCTTCTGTAGATACCTCAAGAGAAAGGAAGTAAGAATAGGCAGACCGACACACTGGGATCCTTCTCGCACATAAATGTAACAAGCTAGAACAGGGTGGGCAATTAATTTGGGCAGAGGGCTGCTTACTGATTTTTAGCAAGCCATTGTAGGCTGCACAACAGGCAGCCCAGGGAAGATAAACATGAATTTTCTAAATTTTTTAAGGACCCTGTAGGCCAGATAGAATGGCCTGGTCGACTGCATCCAGCCCCCAGGCCACATTTTGCCTGCCCCTGACCTAGAAAGATCCTGCTGCCAACACTCACCTTCTAAAAGTCAGTGGGAGCTGGAAAGTGGAAGGTGGTCAGGGACATAACCCTAATTTGCACTGGTCATTGCACTCACAGTGTAATGTCTTTTCATTCCATATTTTTGCACATGTATGTATTACATGGTCCTTGATCAACAAGGAGAACAAAAGTGAAATTCAATCCGACTGGTGATGTGCAAACAAAAGGAGTATAGTAGAGCTCAGAGCAAAATTTATTGAAAATATAGCTTGAATTTGCCCAATAGTTTCAACCAAAAATAAGGAAAGGTTTCAAAGAATATTGAAACTTTATGTTTTGATAACTTTTAAACAAAAAGGGATTTCTTTTGGAAAGTCTAAACTTCATTTTGACATTTTCAAAACAGTATTTTCACTTCAAAGTGTATATCTTTCTTTAAAAGTGGGAGCAGAAAAGGGTTAAATAACTCCATATTAAAACACCTTGATTCAATCCAGACTGAAATGATGTTATTTTTTCACCAGCTTCTCCCCCCTCCCGCCAAATGTTTTTCAGTTTGGACCCAACTAACCCAACTTTATATTTCAGCCACTGATTTAAAAACCTAATATTTGCACAGCTCTACAGAAGGGTCACCTATACAGCTTACAATCTAATTATTCCTTACCCTCAAAGTCTTTTGCTATGATAAGCTACTTTCTGGAAAAGAAAGCTTTAAGCAAACCATTCCAGCACCTAAAAACAGCCACTCATTTTTGTACGTGGTCTAATAATAAGAAAGTGCGCCCGTAAGTCTTTAAGGCAAATCGTCATTATTTTAGGCTGAAATTTTCAAAGGGGCCTAGAAAAGCTTGGTGTCCACATCCCACTGAATTGCTGTTGAATTTGATTACCTGCCTATTAGGCCTTTGCAAATAGGCAACTTTCCGATTCGGATTCAGGCGATTCAATTTGGAGATTTGAATCACTTTCCTGAATAGATTCAGTCGAATCGATTCGGAAAAGATTTGGAGATTCAGCCATAGGGTATAATGGGGAAGACAATGAAATATCTATAACTTTGTTCTTTTTTGGCTGATTCAGATGAAACTTGGCAGGCTTCATGCCTCTGCTGAGGGCATGAAGCCTGCCAAGTTTCAAGGTGATAGGTGCAGGGGTTTCTGGGAAACTGTACCTCAATGCTCTGAAAGCAAAACTCATGTCATGTGTATGTTAAGCCACAGCAGGGCTGTGAAATCCCTGCAGTTTTCACCCCACTGTGGCTTAACACACACACGTGACACAAGTTTTGCTTTCAGGATTTGAGGTGCAGTTTCTCAGAAACCCCTATCACCTTGAAACTTGGAAGGCTTCATGCCCTCAGCAGGGGCTATCATCCCTGCAAGTTTCGTCTGAATCAGCCAAAAAAGAACAAAGTTATAGATATTTCATTGATTCCCCATTATACCCCATGGCTGAATCTCCTAATTGCCAAATCTTTTCCGAACAACTTTGGAAAGCCTAAAGCTCCTAGTGATTGATCAATTTGGTTTAATAGACTTGGCCTCCAAATCATCCGAATCCTCTCCAAATCTGAATTGCGATCCAAAGCTTTGCACAGCCCTACTGCCTATCTCTGTTTCCTTTGATATTCCTAGATTGTCTTTCAGAAGTCTCTTAGTTGAATTTAAAAAAAATTACACTTTTCAAAATAATATGTATGTGGCCTTTGTTGAAAATTATTAGATGCAATATAAAATAAACAATGCATATTACATGCAAGTGGCAATACCAAGTAAAATAATGGTATGAATTAAGACCTGGCAAACATAAAGCTTAAAAATACATCACGCTTTTTCATTTCCTTTAGACTATGAACTTTTATATTTAAGTAGAAAAACCTACCTCAAACTAAAGTTTCAATAAAAAAAAACCTATAATCTCACAAGAGGTAGATCTAGTGACCACTGATTGCCTTGCTGACAGTGATCTGCACCACCAAGAACATAATCTCCAAGGAGATAGTTTCAGAGATTCATAGATTTAGGGTCGGAAGGGACCTAAGTAGATCTTCTAGCCCGACCCCCTGCCAGGGCGAGAGAACAACAAAACCCCAAAACAAAAACGGGACTCAAATGAGTCCAGCCAGGTAGGCATCCAGCCTCTTCTTAAAGACCCCCAGGGTAGGGGCCAGCACCACTTCCCTTGGAAGTTGGTTCCAGCTCCTAGCCGCCCTAACTGTGAAGTAGTTTTTGCGGACGTCCAATCTATACCTCCTCTCCATCAACTTGTGCCCATTACTCCTTGTTATGCCAGCGGGCGCTAGGGGAAACAGCGTCTCCCCCAAACCCTTCTGGTCCCCCCCTAGAGATATCTTGTTCCCTGGGTAAGTGCACTGAATTACTCAGCTTCTGACAGATTAAGCAGAGTGCTGACAAACTCCGGAGGGTGATGACTGCAATTTTAGGAATGTACATTGGGAGGGAATTTAAATGTTTTAGATCTAAAGTGTTGGCAGTTTTAAAGAGAAATCAAGGGGTCCATAAGAAATCTACAGAGATGGCTGCTTTGTTATTCTCTCAAAACACAAAGCAGCCCTGCTGAGTAATTCCACACTCATAACCCTTTCAAGTGAAGTTTTAATAAGAGGGTTGAAAGAGAAATATTAGACTTTACTGACCTCATTTTCAAAGAAGCGTCTATATTTGAACACCTCTGAGTTGGCACAGAGATTTTTGGAGTTTTTCATCCAACTCAATAATAAATACCTAACATCTGATTCTATTGTGTAAATGATGTTTGCACAAATGACTCCACACACTTCTCTGTGTCTGGTATTTTAAAGCAAAGAACTCAGTCTATGCCATCTAGAACATGCTGTTAAATTGGGACATGGGCAGCCGGGTCTGGGGCTACAAAGGACTGAGGTGAAGGCCAAGGTCAGGATGGATGAATAAATATAAGGGAAAATCAGGTCAGGGAACTAGGAGGTCAGCCTGAGAGCAAGGTCCTGGAACATGCTGAGTCAGAAGCGGGGAGGTCAAACAGAGAGGGAAGTCCAGGGAGGAGCCAAGTCAAGAAGTCAGGAGATCAAACAGAGAGTGAGGTCAAGGAGCAAGCCAGAGGGAGCAGCAAAGCAGGCTTGAGCCAGGTTGCCCTGTTGCCCAGACACTTTTTGTTCCAGGTCAAGGGTTTATAGGGTGGAATCAGAAGGTCAGCTGATCCCAGCTGGCCACTCCCATCCATGACAGGGAGTTTGAATTAGGAAGTCCAAAGCAAGGAAGAGCAAACAGCACTGTTAAAAGTATGCTCTATAGAAAAACAAATGTACCGTATAAAACATAAGGAATCTTCTCTCACAAATTCTTGTTAAAGTACTTGTGAAGCATGATTGCAATGTTCCTAATATTGGAATGTTCTTAATATTGTCCTAAAATAAAAGTAGGTATTGTAGGCCCACAAGAGTCAAGGTACACCAAAGATATCATTTTTCTAATGAAGGAAAGATATATACATAATTTGATATTAAGAACAAATTAACTGGTTAAAAAAAGAGAAATTGTGTGATAATTTAGAAGCCAATGATCATTAGCAATAAATTATCGCTGTGTTTCCTTGTTTTTATATGTGTATAGTAGATACAAGTAGAAGCCTCACTAGTTCCAAAACCTCCAGACATTTAGAAAAAAAAAAATCTACATTGGCCACTGGATACAAATCCCAAATTGGTGGCTAACCCTTTTCTTCTTATTGGTCAGCACCAAAATTTTGAAATATTTTCACCACCTTTATTTCCAATTCTGGAAAAATGCAAGTATGGCTTGGGATCTGAACTATTTTAAATCAATCTGACATGAATTTAAAGTGGCTCAAACTTTCAAAATATACTTAGCGATAATATGAGGAAATAGCATGACAAGGACACATGATCATTTTAGGTTAAGATTAAAAGTCATCCAGCATTACTGAAAAAATTCTCTTAGAAAAAACACAGATGAAATATAGCTCATACATCTCATAATACATCTTCCTGATTCTACTTCACCACATCCAAAAATGCCTGAAGAAAATTTTGTCTCTAGTTGAAAACTTTAAATAATGTTGCTCATTGTGTGGTATATATAATGTTGCTCATTGTGTGCACGCATACAAATGAATACAGCATCAGACTTTCTTAAGTGTTTAGTCAATAGCTGTCATGGCCTTTACAGTCTGTACTTGTGGATTTTTTTCTGGATTTCAGTGAACAGAGTTTTTGAGCCAAACATTATGAATTTTATTTGTCATATCGTATATATAGCATAGATATATACACATTGTTTGCTGGTAGCTATGCTGTCTGTGCAAATATATGTGGCCACGACGAACAACAAATAGTCTCTCTCAAACTGAATAGCCAATGATGACAACAGGTTTTCATTTATTCATTCAGGCATTGCTTAATAGTCAGGTTGGCAGGAGGGGGCAGAGAGAAGAAACAGGGTGGCAATAAGGGAAACATCCATAACTATGACATACAAAAGCAGCGGAGACTGATGGTATTGAAAGCACATAGGTGAAATGGATTTAAATGCAGACAGAGGACCAATTTACCTAGCAGATAAAGGTCCAGTCTCTGAGTACAGGAGGTTTTATCTACACTAGTTACCCTAAGGGATTTTTACTGAGCATGTTCCTTCACTTCAAAGGGAGCCTGAGTTATCTACCTAAGTTACTTCTCTTGAGTTAGTATGTCTCAAAAGAGACCAGTCACCCTGGAAAATAATGCAGTGTGCATTGCACTTGTGTCTGCCACTGAGGCCATATCCCTTGATTCTTAGCAGTGCATTATGTTGAACCACTCTATTAATTCTTCTCCCATGACACATCTGTCTTTTTAGAAGGGATTGTGGGAAGGACTAATATAGGTAGAGACAGGCACTGAAGGACTAATATAAGTACAGACAGCCTGCATTACTACTACAGATCAGTCATGTTAACAGTTACCATACTTACTTGAATATAAGAGGACCCTAAATATTAGATGCCCTCCCCAATAATTAGGTTCTATGCATGGAAAATGTATCAATTTGTTATAATTTTTCAGTTATAGAATCTAATTATTGGAGGTTTACCTTTTGTACTTGCATAGGTAGTACAAACAGTTCATGATATTACTCCAAAACCAAAAAGCTTATGATTTACAATCGAGTTAATTGGGCTCAGCCCCAGGAGAGTCAACAGCACTTCAAGCCATGGTAAATCCCACAGATCAGCACTGTTCAGTATCTGTATACCCCAGATACATCTCACAAAGGTTATGAGTCCCAGGATGCTTCAGGAATTTATATACAGAAAAAGCACAGGGCAACCTGGTCAGGCTCCACCTTTTGGGGATGAGACCACACTAATCATATCTATGACAGGCTGAGAGTGGGGGGTGATAGAGGGATTCTGGGTGAACTCTTGTGGTCAAGGTCCAAGATTAGGATGGGGTATGGACTGGGGCCTGGAGAGCCTGGTAATTATTCTGTGCAGATTCACTAGGGTAAATGTGGTGTGACATATGGCTCAAGGATTGTCTTAGGGCCTACAAAGGACTGGTGATTTTCTACGGACAGCCAAAGTTATGCTTGAGGTGCAAGGAATAGGGGTATTTGGCAATGGCCTGCCTATACAAGATTTGCACTGCATGTAGGGGAAAGGGTCATGGAGCGCAAGAGGATAAGGAATGGAAATATAATTTGTACAGAGAAGCAGGCTGTGCACTCTGCACCCATCCCAAATTGTTTAATCAAAGGTGCAGAAGGGATTCCCAGTAGCAAAGGAAATTAGAGACATCAAGAACCTAATGAAGGAGTGGTTTAGAGAGAAAGGACAGAGAAACAGCTTTTTGAAGGCTGCCAGTATGGAGGACGGAGAAGAATGATTCTCTTTCTTTGCCTGTAGAAGAGGCGGAAAAAAGTATTACAGAAGAGTGGGATGAGAGGGGAACGCAGCTGACAAAGACAGAAGAGATACTAAGCATATAAAGGAGTATTACCAGAATTTCTACTTCAACAGGATGTTGCATTAGGGAACCCTTGACTCCTTTTTTGGCAGAGCTAGAGGAGAGCTTGAAGGAAAATGAGAGGCATCAGCTGGAGAACATGTGGACATTGGAAGAACCGTGGGAGGGAGGCAACCCAAACCTTCAAGGCTGAAAAGACCCCAGGGAATGAGAGGGTCCCAACAGAATTTTACAAGACTTCTTGGGATCTACTAAGTCAGGACCAGTTAGCAGTGTCCCAGGAGTGTCTGGAAAGGGAGCAGCTGGGGACTGGAATAATAACACTATTGTATAAGAAAGGAGAGCATGAAAAGTCAAAGAACTGGAAGCCAATCACCTTACTGTACCCAGATTATAAAAAAATTACCAAGGTGTTAGGGAATAAATTAAAAAAAAGTCATGGGAAAAGAGGTCCACAATAATTAGACTTTTAGAGTCACCAGCAGAGTAGTAACTATGACACTTATACTAATAAGAGACATGATTTTATGCCATTAAGAATGATGGATGAATGTGACACTTTTAAATCTTGATTTAGAAAAAGCATACAACTGGGTGGAGCATGAGTTTCTGTTTGACACTGAACAAGATGGGGGTCCCACCAAAATTTCTCAGTTGGATCAAGACCTTATATGAGAGAGCATAGTGTAGGGTAGAAGTGAATGTTCATCTAATGGAAAAAGTCAAGGTCAAATCAGGCACAAGACAGGGGTGCTCCTATCGCCACTCCTATTCATCTGCGCCATCAAGCCATTGGTGCATAGGAACAGGAAATATCACATATCACTAACTGCGTCCTCAGCTCGCAGTTGTAGGGAGGCAGTTAGAAAGACCAAAGCTACCATGGAGCTGAGGATGGCATCCCAAGTTAAGGATAACAAAAAATTATGTTTCAGATATATAGGGAGTAAAAGGAAGGCCCAGGGTGGAATAGGACCACTACTGAATGGGCAAAAGCAATTGGTGACAGACAGGGAGGACAAGGCTGAACTCCTCAATGTGTTCTTTGCTTCAGTCTTCCTAAATGAGGGGCAAGACAAGTTGCACATTGTAGAGAGGCAACAGCTGGGCGCCGGACTACGAAGCGTTGACCCTGAGATATTGCAGAGTCACTTGGAAGGACTGGATGTGTTTAAGTCAGCAGGCCCGGATAAGCTCCATCTGAGGGTACTGAAGGCACTGGCCAATATCATTGCACAGCCACTGGCAAGAATATTGGAGCACTCGTGGCACATGGGACAGGTCCCAGAGGACTGGAAAAGGGCCAATGTGGTCCCTATTTTCAAGAACGGGAGGAAGGAGGATCCAGGCAACTATAGGCCAGTCAGTCTCACCTCCATCCTTGGGAAAGTCTTTGAAAAGATTATTAAGGCTCATATATGTGAGAGCCCCAGCAGGAAAAATTATGTTGAGGGGAAACCAGCATGGGTTTGTAGTGGGTAGATCATGCCTGACTAATCTAGTCTCTTTTTATGACCAAGTTACAAAACACCTGGACACAGGAGTAGGGGTTGATATTGTTTACTTAGACTTCAGGAAGGCCTTCGATACGGTATCTCACCCCATACTGGTGAACAAGTTAAGAGGCTGTGACTTGGGTGATTACACAGTCTGGTGGGTGGCAAATTGACTAGAGGGTCGTACCCAGAGAGCAGTAGTGGATGGGTCGGTATTGACCTGGAAGGGTGTGGGCAATGGGGTCCCACAGGGCTCAGTACTTGGACCGATACTCTTCAATGTCTTCATCAGTGACTTGGACGAAGGAGTGAAGTGTTCTCTATCCAAGTTTGTGGATGATACAAAACTGTGAGGAAAAGTGGACACACCAGAGGGCAGGGAACAATGACAGGGAGACCTGGACAGGTTGGACAAATGGGCAGAAAACAATAGAATGCAATTTAGCAAGGAGAAACGCAAAGTGCTGCACCTAGGGAGGAAAAATGTCCAGCACACCTACTGCCTAGGAAATGACCTGCTCAGTAGCACAGAAACGGAAAGGGATCTTGGAGTCCTAGTGGACTCGAAGATGAACATGAGTCGTCAGTGTGACGAATTCATCAGAAAAGCTAACTGCACTTTATCGTGCATCAGCAGATGCATGACAAACAGAACCAAGGAGGTGATACTTCCCCTCTATAGGGCACTGGTCAGACCGCATTTGGAGTACTGCTTGCAGTTTTGGGTGCCACACTTCAAGAGGGATGTGGATAACCTGGAGAGGGTCCAGAGAAGGGCCACTCGTATGGTTAAGGGCTTGCACGCCAAGCCCTACAAGGAGATACTAAGGCACCTGGACCTCTTCAGCCTTCGCAAGAGAAGGCTGAGAGGTGACCTTGTGGTTGCCTATACATTCATCATGGGGGCGCAGAAGGGAATTGATGAGGCTCTACTCACCAAGGCGCCCCTGGGAGATCACAAGAAATAATGGCCATAAGCTAGCAGAGAGCAGATTTAGACTGGACATTAGGAGGAACTTCTTCACAGTTAGGGTGGCCAAGGTATGGAATGGGCTCCCAAGGGAAGTGGTGCTCTCCCCTACCCTGGGGGTCTTCAAGAGGAGGTTGGATGGGCATCTGGCTGGGGTAGTCTGAACTCAGCACTCTTTCCTGCCTATGCAGGGGGTTGGACTCAATGATCTACTGAGGTCCCTTCCGACCCTAATGTCTATGAATCTATAAAAATAATGTTATACAAGGAGAAACTGAAGGGAAGATGGGACTTCCCAGATGTGTTTTTATTTTTCATACAAAGTTTGTCAGCTTATGCTGCACAGAAAGGATAAAAAGGGGCAACGAATGTGCTGTGTTTGTCCAGTATTATATGGGGATGGTATTGCATAAATATAATGCACATACAAAGTCACTCTGGCCCTGGCTCTGGGCCTGGATAATGCACAAAATGCCACCAAATGCAGAAAAATATTGTAAAATGTGTGAACTGGTATGGAATGCACACAATAGCCACAACACAGTTGGTGGACCATAAAAAAAAAAAATTAAAAAAAAAAAAAAATCAAGGCCTGGGTCAGGGAAAAGGACACTGTATCCCCAGTGGGGAGTTCATAGGAGGAAGAAGCAGAAACAGTTTGGGAAGGGGTACTTGAAAAAAGCTTACAGAAGCAGCACCAGGACTTCAGTTAGCTGCCAGCACATTGGATTGTACAGTACAGGTGCTCTATTACAGTTGGGAACTATACAAAACAGCTGAATGTCCCAGACAAACATGTCATGGGGAAGAAAGCATATGGCACATGATGTGGGAGTGTCAGTTTGCCAGAATGGTTGGGGGGAAGTTAGATAAACTCCTACAGTGGCTGGGTATTAAGAGCTAACTCATACTAGAAGCAGTTTGGTCCAAAGCATGGGCCAGGGACCAGAGGAAAGACAGAAGAAGAGTATGGAAAGCTATAATGAGTTTTCACCCATCATTGTAGAAGCCAAATAATTTACTAATCTTGCCAGAACTGGAGCTCTCAGTAGAATTTCCAAAAAAAAATCTGATAGGGTTCAATAAGGACATGTGCAAAGTCCTCCACTTAGGATGCAACAATCCCATGCACCAGTACAGGTTGGGAACTGACTGGTTAACCAGCAGCTGTGCAGAAAAGGCCTTGGGGGTTGCAGTGGACAATAGGCTAATGGCATACTGGGCTGCATTGCTAGGAGTGTTGCCAGCAGATCAAGGGAAGTAATTTTTCCCCTTTATTCAGCACTGTTGAGGCCACATCTGGGGTACTGTGTACAGTTTTGGGCTCTCCACTACAGAAAGGATGTGGACTAATTGGAGAAAGTCGAGCAGAAGGCAACAAAAATGGTTAGGGAGCCGGGGTACATGACTTCTGAGAAGAGGCTGAAGGAACTGGGCTTATTTAGTCTGGAGAAAAGCCGATTGACAGAGGGTTTAATAGCAGCCTTCAACTACCTGAAGTGGGGGTTTAAAAGAGGATGGAGCTAAACTATTTTCAGTGGAGGCAGATAACAGAACAAGGGGCAATGATCCCAAGTTGCAGCAATGGAAGTTTAAGTTAGATATTAAGAAAAACTCTCTCACTAAAGAGGGTGGTAAAGCACT